CCCTAATCTAAACGAACTTAACGATTTTTGTACGATCACGTGATCGAAAAAAATTGGTGGCGATGCTGGGGAAGATTCTAAAGCCGAGTCCAATCATGTGACACAGAACCAATAGTTAAAAACATAATCCCCAGATTAGTCTAAGTTCGTACATTTTCTACTTCGGAATACTTCTATATTTTAAAAAGTAATTCTAATAGGTGTATTTTATTATTATTAACTCGTGACATATGTCAAGATGTTTTCTGATTGGCTGCTATTGACGTAATTTTATCCCGATCACAAGGATAAAAACGCGAAAATTTTAATTTTCCAGTATCAATTTTCTCCGGCTTAACGAACTAGTAAGTTATCACCGTCACTTTTTCATATGAATTAAATATACTGTATTTAACTTTTTGTATAACTTCTTGGGAGGAACGCATACGACCATGCGAGGGAGGAGCATGGTTGACATTCCTTCGGGAATGTGGTCACGGTGCAGTATACGCTTTTGTATGTGCCTGACCTAGGGCGTAACGGTTTGTATTTTATTATTTAGTTTACGCTATTTGTTATACCCAACTTTATCGGCAGGGTTTTGGTTGTTATTTTAGCGCTTCTAGCGTGATTCTACTCAAGAAGTGAATCTGCCCTTACTAAAAGATGGGTTTAGCCCAAGAAGTGTGTTTGCCCTTACTAAAAGATGGGTTTCACCTTGGTACGCGTTTTCGGTGGGAACTTTTTTTTTAAATTAGAATAGACTTCATAATTTATTTTAGAATAGTATTTTTTTTTCCTCCCTTATTTAATATCGTCTTCTGGGCAACCTTTAGTATCAACGTCCTTGTCGTGCGGCTTAACGAACTAGTAAGTTATCACTATCGCATTTTCATATGAATTAATTATACTGTATTTAACTTTTTGAATAATTTCTTGGGAGGAACGCATATGGCCATGCGAGGGGGGAGCATGGTTGACATTCCTTCAGGAATGTGGTCACGGTGCAGTATAGGCCTTTGTATTTACGTGACCTAGGGCGTAACGGTTTGTATTTTAATTTACTTTATTTGTTATACCCAATTTTACGGCAGGTTTTTTGGTTGTTATTTTAGCGTTTCTAGCGTGATTCTACCCAAGAAGTGAGTCTGCCCTTACTAAAAGATGGGTTTAACCCAAGAAGTGTGTTTGCCCTTACTAAAAGATGGGTTTCACCTTGGTGCGCGTTTTCGGTGGGAACTTTTTTTTTAAATTAGAGTAGACTTCATATTTTATTTTAGAATAGTATTTTTTTTCTTCCCTTATTTAATATCGTCTTCTGGGCCACTTTTAGTACCGACGTCCTTGTCGTGTGGCCTGGGCACTATTTTATAGTGGCTAACGGGTACTACTCTGTATACATATTAGTTGTATTAATACTTTGAATTCGTTTTTTAGTTTCAATCGATGTATTTTTAGTATATTAGTTATATATATTTACAAATAATAAACATTATATTGAATGATATTTTTTTATATATCTACAGACAAATATACCAGAAAAATTTTGAACTAAATCAATCCAAATTTTTTAACGTTAGCTAAACCAAAGTTTTTCATCGTGATTTCTGTTCTGTGATTTTTGAAACACCTGGTATAATATAAATAATACTATTTTTTTATACGCAGCTAAATGTAGTTTTTCAATTTTAAACATGACAAGTAACGTGACATAATGTTCCGATTATCGATATTAAAATGATCTACGGTAATACTAGATGTTGAGCAAACTTCAAAAAAAAATGGGTAAAAAAGACAAAAAAACCGCCAAAGGTTCGTATAAAAAAAAAAAAAAAAAAAATTTAAATAAATAAATTAAAATGAATTAAAGTTAAAATTACAAATTAACAACCTTTTCGATTAGGGCGCTTGGACAAGTTTTACTACTTAGCCAAAGAACAAGGATATCGTGCCCGTTCTGCATTCAAGCTTATTCAATTAAATAAAAAATATAATTTTTTAGAAAAGTCCCGATGTTTGATAGATTTATGTGCTGCACCTGGAGGCTGGTGAGTCCATACTGTTTATGTTGAATGATTTAGAGTTTTTTACATTTCATTAAAATTTTTAATCCCACCAAAGGTTACAAGTTGCGAAAAAACATATGCCTGTATCAAGTTTAATTATTGGTTTGAAAAAATTCTTAATTGAATCGAAAGAGTTTTGAATTTTATAAAATTTTTAATCCATATTTAAATTTGATCAAAAGGTGTTGATCTTGTACCTATTAAACCAATTTCAAATATTATAACTTTTCAAGAAGATATTACTACTGATAAATGTCGTTCCACAATTCGAAATGAATTAAAAACCTGGAAAGCTGATGTGTAAGTAATCATTTATAATATTAACTATAATTAATATTCTAAATATGACAACTTGATTATTTTAAGAGTACTTCATGATGGTGCTCCAAATGTGGGTATTTCTTGGTTGCAAGATGCTTTCTCTCAAGCTGAATTGACGTTGAAAGCGTTGAAATTAGCTGTAGAATTTTTGAACAAAGGAGGTTCTTATCTATTTACATTAATATAATTGTTTTCTAGTACTTTAATATTATATGCATACTTCTTGGTGATTGTTTGATATTATATAGGCACATTTGTGACTAAACTTTTCAGATCCAAAGATTATAACAATTTGATATGGGTCTTCAACCAATTATTTAAAAAGGTAGAGGCTACAAAACCGGCTTCATCGAGGTATATTGTGACTCCATTATATTGATACTTGTCTACTTTTTCTAAGTATAAGCTAAATTTTTTATTATAAATATTAGAAATGTTTCGGCGGAAATTTTCGTTGTTTGTCGTGATTTTCTTGCCCCTAAAAAAATTGACTCGAAATTTCTTGATCCTCGAGCAGTTTTTAAGGAAGTTGAGATTGGACCTGTAAACAAACCTATTGATGTTTTACATCCAGAAAAAAGAAAACGGCAAAGAGAAGGTTACGAAGATGGGAATTATACTTTATATAAAGAAATTTCTGTCTTAGATTTCATTAATTCCGATGATCCTATTCAAATTCTTGGCGATGTGAATAAATTGAAATTTGATACTGAAAAAGCAAAAGAGTAAGTTATATAATTTATGATTAAAAATTGTTATTTTGCCTTTTTTTGTATTAATTATTTATTACTTAGGTTATTAAATCATGAATCTACAACCGAAGAAATAAAAATATGTTGTGATGACTTAAAGGTTTTAGGCAAAAAAGAATTTAAAAACCTTTTAAAATGGCGAAATATCGTTAAAGAAAAAGTAAGCATCATTTTATTGTTTATTTGATTCTGCCTGTTTGTGAATAACTCTTTTTCTTTGTTTTCAAGAAGCAGGATCCATCAAATGAAAATGATGAAAATTCTACTAAAAATAATGACGAAAAAGTTGATGAAGATCAGATAATTCAAGATGAGGTTTTATATCAATTCATTTAATTATAACTTTGATGTGTCTATTTACTGTATGCTAATATCAATTCAATATAGCTTGATAAACTCACTAAAGAAAAACAAGCTCAATTAAAACGACTCCGTCGAAAAGCTAATGAAAAACGACAGAAAAATGTTGTTCGAATGCAGTTAAAGATGATTTCCCCCACCGATATTGCATTAGAGAGTTCAGGTCCTGATGGTGGTGATCCATTATTCGATTTAAAACAAGCTGATAAAACTGGGGTAATCGTCTATTTTATCTATTTATAATGTATTTTTGTTATGATTATACAATAATTAATAATTAATAACTTTTAATAGGTGTTGAGAAAAATACGCAAAGGAGATATGGACGTGATTCTTGAACAAGACATCGATGATGATGACATTGTGATCGAAGATCAAAAATTGTTAAAAGACAAGGATGAAGATAATGAGGATAATATTGATATTCAATTTGAAGATGAATTAGATGAGCTGTAAGAAATGTCTTACGTGTTTTTTTTTTTTTGCAAATAATTTCTAACAAATCAACCTGTTATTTATTTATAAACTTTAGCTATGAACAGTATGTAGAACGCAAGGCAGAACGTGATGTAAAATATAGAGTGAGGAAAATGCGAAAGGAATATGAAGATTGGAATGGTATTCAAAAATCTGAAAGTAGCGATGATAATGATGTGAAATTTGTGCATCCACAAGATGACAGTTCTTCTAGCGATAATGATTCTGAGTTAGAAAGTGATTCATCTAATGAGTTAAAAGAAGAACCGACTAAAAAAAAGAAAAAATTATTAACAAACATAAGCGAAAGCGATGACGATAGTAAAGTTAAAATGGCTGGCGGTTTGAGTAAGAAGGCTGAACTATTCTTTGATAATCCGCTATTTAAAGATTCAAAGAAGATAGATGTCTCAGATATTAAAGATGGCGTAACTAAGTCTAATGGTCATTCTTTAAAACGTAAAGCTGATGATGTTAGTAGTCCCAGAATATCAGATGGTTACAACCGCATTCATAGTTTGTCTAAGATCGCATCAATTCTTTATTGTAGATTGGAGAAGACGCAAATGATGATATTGAAATAGTTCCTAGAAACAAAGATAGCGATGAAGAAATGTGGGATGCCAATGAAGTTGACGAAGACGAGAAAAAAATGATGAGAGCAAAAGGTATAAAATAAATATATATATAAATTAGTATTTGAAGAAACAATTATACAGTTTCTAATATTTTCCTTTCGCTTTAGAAATTGGGTTGATCACCGCAGAAGCAGTAACTTTAGCGCAGCAACTAGTGAATCGACAGAAGACAAAATATGACCTTATAGATGAAGGTTTTCGTCGATACACATATAATGATAGGGAAGGATTACCTGGATGGTTCTTAGATGACGAAAAGCAACACAACAAATTGAATGTGCCAGTAACTAAAGAGGCGGTGCAGGCAATTAGAGAGCGGATGAAAGCTTTAAACGCCCGTCCAATCAAAAAAATTGCCGAAGCTAAAGCTCGGAAGAAGATAAGAGTATGAATTTTTTTAATTTTATTTTTTTGAATTGATAATTTTGTATTATTTAATAACCATGCGTTACTTTGTACACACTAGGTTATGAGAAAGCTCGCCAAACTCCAAAAGAAAACTGATGCAATAATCGAAACTTCTGACATGACTGAGAAAGAAAAGGCTAATACTATTTCAAAAATGGTAAGTAAGGCGCAGAATAAGGTCAAAAAAGAAGTAAAATTGGTTGTTGCTAAAGGTTCTGCCAAGGGTAATAAAGGTCGCCCAAAAGGTGTTAAAGGAAGATACAAGGTAATTCATCCTCCTGTACAACGGTTTTGCTAATTCATGTTGTTCTTATATAAATATTTAATTTAATATTAGATGGTGGATTCACGACTAAAAAAGGATGCTCAGGCATTGAAAAGGGTCAACCAGAAAGTTGGCTCAAGAAAGAGGCGAAGAAAATAATTATTGACCTAGAATGTTATAATTTATTTAAGTTTTTGTTTATCTTAATTGAGAGAATAAAAATTAGATGGTTTGATTATAAGACCATTTTACAAGCAAGAATAACTTTTAAATTCTTGATCGCTCGATTTTTCATATTGTAAATTTTTTGATAAGCTAAAATCTGTTAATTAATAGTTATCAGGTAGAATGTAGGTGATATTGGGTCAGCATCATTTAGCGGTCATTTGTTGACTCAGATCAGCCGCGAAGCGGCATGATCTGAGTCAACAAATGGCCGCTAAATGATGCTGACCCAATGTCATCTACATTCTACCTGATAACGATATTATCCGGGAGTGTTCATTGATCATGTTACTCATATTAATTATGTAAATTATTGTCATTTCATAAAGTTTAGTTTATTGATTATGTGGTTTCTTTCTCTGGTTTTTTTTTTTTTCTTTTTTTTAACTCGGAGACTTTTTGACATGAATTAAAATAATCGTTGAGATAACATTAAAAAAAAAAAAAAAAAAGATATATACCCAAAAAAAAAAGAAATATTAAAATTCCGAATGGAATAAACATTGATATACCGTGATATAGTATTAATATGGGTAACATGATCAATAGTAACTACCGGATAATTAAATATATCGTAAATTAGGTTTAAAAAGTTTATTTAACTCCCGTGACGATGTCACATGTCGGGCGATAGAATGTGTTAATCACAAAGCAAAAAAACTACTCGGCACAAATATTTACTGACAAATAATGGCTTGGATTGAATCTTCAAAAATTTATGTATAATTGATTAAACTTTGTCAATAAATCTTCTTATTTTTTTAAAAAATTTGTCGAAAAAATTAGTAATGACATCTAACTCAGATAATTTCCATTTGAAAATTCCAGTCGAGGAGATTCCTGATAAAAATAAGAAAATTTCGGAAATTGTCTGTTCACCTAACTTGAAGCATGTTGCTGCATTACGCGAAGATAATTATATTAGTTTTTGGTCTAATCTTAATAAAGAGGAACCTTTAACGAACGTAAAGACAATTCGTAATGACAATATTCACACAAAAGAATATGGTGGAAAAATATTTGCAATTTCAAATAATAAATGCGCTTCAATAAGTCTTAATAAAACCGATCCTTATAATTTCAGTAAGTTATGCATAAATTTATTATTACTGCTTTAATACGTAAATTCAATTGACTTATCGTATTTATGATCATTTTTCAAGAAATTTACGATTTTGAAAATGGAAAAGAGGTATCATTAACTTTTCCGGACTGTCAAAAGGAAATTGACTTCTTATCCTTTATCGATAATGGGAATGTTGTAATGGTCAATGCTAAATATTATAGAGCATATGTTTTTTCAAGTGAAAGAAAAGGAAATGTTACCTGGGCTTGTAAATCAATGATTGAACTGAAATATTTTAACAAAATTTATATTACCGTTAAAGGCAAATTGATCATATTTAATGATACTATTTATGAGATTACGATGTGGGACATCGAAGAATTATCGATTAAAACTCGTATTTTAATAGATTGGAATTATACACCTGAGTCTATTGAAATTAGTGATGATGAAGAATTATTATTAGTATGTGCAAAAAATATGGAAACTAAGGAAACACGTTTATACACTTTTTCCACCAAAACTGGGATTAACTTGTCATTTTGTAAGTTTCATATTGAAATGGATAGCTGATTATATAAAGTTTTTTCTATATTAATCTTTTAATTATTTATATTTAGTTACTACAAAATTGGTAATAAATAGATTTCACTTGATCGCATCTCAAAAAGGAGAAAGATTATTCTATATTTCAGGCGATCAATATAATTTAATGGACCCTTATAACCTCACAAATTCAATAGATGCAAGCAAACTTTTTGAAAATATTGAAGTGAACCCAATTCAAGAACCATACATAATTCGATCAGATAAAATAATTTATGCGATTGATGAAAAATTGTCAATTAAAGAATTAGTGCCTGATGATTGGATTGAATACTTGCGAAAAAAACTGAATGACAGAAATAGCATTACAGCTCCGTCGTCTAAAAAGACAATTGATATTATATCTGAAATTATACAAAAAAGTAAATTTGAACCTGAAAGAAAAAAATTTGAAGGGAAGTTTTTAAAATGGGAATTGGAATCAGATGATAGTTCAGTCAAACTTACAGTAGTTGATTATAATTATCGCAGAAGAAAATGGAATGATGATAAAAAAAAGCAACTGAATATCCTTCCATCATTTTATCGTAAAGAAAATTTAGAAAAATTTATAGTACATTGTGAAATTCTTGAAAATGATGATTTCATTACGATTACACGTATTGGTGTATTTATCTGGACCTATAAACTTTCCGACATTAAGATGCACTATTATTGGAATGATTGTAATGATCGTTTGGAGGATTTCGTTTTTGAAAAGATAAAGCTAAAAATTCTCTCTGAGAACTGGACTTCAGGAAGAATCCTTCCTGCTTCAAGCTATGAAACAATACTTAAAAATTTAGATATTAAATTTGGCGAAAAAGAGCTTTTCAGAGAGTTTTTGAAAAGTAATATCGATGATGAATTTTATTTAACTTGCTACGGGGAAATTCTCATGAGTACGTTTATTGAATTAAAGGATGATAAATGGATTCGATGTTTAGGCCAGAGCTGTATGGAAAGGTGTTTACAAAATAATCATTTGATTTCTAAAATTTCATTGTTGAGTATTATTTTTGAAAATTTTAAAGAACTATCAGAAAATCATCCTGCATTTATAGCAAGTATGCTATCTTTGATAGGATTTGTAGTTCCTTCTCCTATTGTAATTCCAAACTCTATTTCATCTCATCTTTCTAGTTATGGAAGATATCATCATTTATCTAAATCATTTCTTGATAGATTAATCTCTAACCTTCGTGTTTGTTTATTTAGTTTTCAAGAAAGTTTTAAAGATAGTTTTCAAAAGTTTCAAGACAATCATCCTCAATTTCGAAATTTAGTTGTAAAACCATTTATTGATTTTTATTATGTAGGCCATAGTTCGACAATACTTGCAATTCCTCTACCAAACTTTGTTTCTTATCCAAAAAAATATAATTTTTGGAGAGAATTATTGTTACCTAGTCCCAATCCTTTTACATATTCTAATAAGCTTGAAGTGATAAATGTAGAATTTTATAGATATTTAAATGGAGAAGCATTACTTAAATTTAAATGGAATATTTATGGAAGATACTATTATTTAGTAATTTGGACAATTTATACTGTTTTTCTTTTAAATTTTGTATATGCAGCAACATATTACCAAAGTATTTCTCAGACTACTTTATTTATTCTCTTAAAAATAACTATTTATCTTGGATCTTGGCATTTACTTTTTGAATTACGCCAATTTATTTCAGCACCATTAACCTATATGTCAAGTGCGTGGAATTTTTTTGGTAAAACGAACTTTAATATATAGCATTAATTTTTTATCATGCTATGACTAATAATGGTTTTTTTTTTTTTTTCAAAGATTTAGGTGCATTTATATTGCCAATGTTATCGTCAATAATGTGGCTTCAAAATAATGAAATACCAACAGAATTGGTTACCTTTTCTACTTTATTATTGGAAATCAAATTTCTTTTATTTTTTCGTGCTATTGAAATTTCTGGCGCTTACTTCTCTATGATAATTGGAGTGGCTCAAAGAGGATTTTCGTTTTTAATAATATTGGGATTTATTATAGTTGCTTTTGCACATTCATTACACCTTTTATTGCGCCCTACCGTTAATGTATCTTTAGATTATCCAAGTTATTCCACTGATCCGAATGATCCGTGGAATTTGGCTACAACTTACAACACTATAGATCCTAATGGTACAATTGAAGATAGTTCTTCACTCATTGAACCTCCTACTGCGACTACAAATATGTTTATGTTGATGAGTACAGCGATTGCAGCTGTTTACATGATGATAACAGGTGAAATTCAAAATTATAAATTTGCTATAAATCAACCGGTTGCAATTATATTTCCAACTTCTAAAATGTGTACATTTTAATAGGAGACTCAACACCAATTTCTTACTGGGATTTAGATAACAACGCTGCTTTACTTATTTTAACGATCATATTTTCTTTTGTGTCAACTATTTACTTAATGAATTTGTTTATCGGTTTGCTAAGTAATGAAATAAGTGAAACTAAAACAAGAGAGGCATATTTAATTTTAAGAGCTGAGGTATGAGCTTTATAAACTGTATTTATACATATATAATAATATATACTTTTAAGATTTTTTTATTATAATTATATAGATATTAGAGGAAATTGAATTATTCTATATGTTACCTCATCAACGAAGAAAAGAAAATTGGTTTCCATTTATTATGTAAGTAATTAATTGCATGCATAAACAAAGTATTTTCCAATTATTCTTATATTTTTATATTTAAAGCTTTTATGAAGGCCACACTATTAAACTACGTGAACATATAATGGATATCCAAAAAGATAAATGGGCAGGTTACAAAAAACCTTATATTTCAAAGAATCTTAATGAAGTTCTTCTACTTCCTGATGAAGAGCCCTCTCTTGAGGAAGTTGAGAATGATATTAAAGATCTGAAAAATAAATTAAGAGATCTGGAAAAATTTATAAAGAATAAATAATGTTTCTTATTGAAAATATAATTGATATTTAAAATAATGCAAGTTACATTTTCTAATTAGTATCTAGAAATTTTAAATTTAAAATAATGCAAGTTACATTTTCTAATTAGTATCTAGGAATTTTAAATTATAATTTAGGCATGGTATAATATATTTATGGCATTCATATTATCAATAAAAATTTTTTTAGAAAAATAAATAAAATAATAAAATTGTTATTTCCGATTGATGAACAATTATAAATGAGAGAAGAAAATGATACTTCGGGCTTTCAGTTTTATAATTTATTATTAACCGGATTTGCCCTTTAAAAATCCTGACAGTAACATGTAATCACGGATTTTCACGAGCTTAATTTGATAAATAATAAATTATAAACATAAAAGTCCGAAATTTCATTTTCTTTTGGTAGTTCTCAAGAGATTTCTATACACTTTTTTTGTTTTTATTTCCAATTAGTAATCTTATGTCATACTATACATATTATATAGTTCATTCATCATTTATCTATCAATACCGTTGTTAGTTCTGTGGTTATTCTTACATATGGAATCTTTGCTATTAAGATGACCCTCCGAGGCTATGTTGATTTTGTGAATAAAAATCAAATTTGCCAGCCATCTAGAAATCCAATTTGAATAAACTTTACCAGGAACGGAGTGATGCAATCACGAATACCAGGAACGGAGTGATGCAATCACGAAGTGTATGGTTACTATGGCATTTTTAATGGTGTACGTCCGCAAAATCTTATGTTTGATTGGTCCGCATGACTTATTCGTCAAATTTTGTTTATTTATCGCGCATGATTTCATCACGCCATTAATTTTCACATAAATTCATCACGCCTTAAATCTATGTAGTATGACATAGATCGATGAAATATACGCATATTCGTACCAAGTGCATGATTACAGAATAGTAAGAAACCAAGGACCGCAAATATGTGCAATATCACAGTTGCAATAACTAACGTTAGTAAAAGTGTGAATTTTTGACACAAAAATCAGTAAACCGATGCGAATTAGTTTGTCTGTTTACCTAATATTTGGCATTTTTCGTTTTTTTTCGTAGGATTTTTTATTGGGTAGATTAAATGATAATCACTGATCATCAAAGACAATAGCGAAATAATTTTTTGGATAAACGGTTAATCTAATAATTTATTATATGTTGCCTTGTAAACGTTTGCTAATTGACTAATGCGAGTTGCTAAACTGAAAAACCGAATACTATTTTTACATTAAAGTTTCCAAATATACTACATACTAAAAAACTCAATAATTAAATTTCCAATTCAGCTCATTAATCCGTATATCATTTCGTCATTTGTCAACTCAGTTTACTATAGCATTTTTAATCATAACTGATTAGACAGTGTGTTAAATGCTGAATTTCACTTAAACTTCACGATATTGCATCTTTGGGAAATCTACGTGGATTAACCGATCAAATTGCGAAATTTTTATGAACAAAAAAAAGCAAACAAAGCCGAAAATAAGTTAACCGAGCGTCTAAACCTTTCTTGAGGAAC